TTAATATCATTTAGATAGGGGTCATAATGAATGCGCGAACAGAACTGGGCAACTTAGAATCCCTTCAGAAATTAATTTAACTGCTGATCTTTGGCAAGTTCATTAGTTCAAAGGGGTACTCCGCAAGGTGGCCTGCTTTTCCCCTCTTCTTTGGAACCTAACAATGAATAAACTATTGTTCGATCTGGAAAGGAAAGGAGTTCATGTTGTCAATTCGGGCTTTTTCAGTTAGAGTACGATTCAAATCGCTGGTTTAAGCTTAAATACGAGCAGGACTGAACTTGTGATGTTCCCTTGAAAGCACAGAATACCGTACTTCTCCCTACTAATGGTAAATACTATTATATAAAGGGAGCAGAAGTGGACAACAAGCTCTCATGGGAAGACTTCTTGCATTTTGTACATGTAAAAGGAAAGCGCTTATAAAAGGAGCGCCTCGTTTTAACATTTTTGGCTATATTGGTTTGGAAGCCAATAAAAGAAAAGAAAAACATGGAAAAATTACAAAGAGCGGATAGTAATGCTAAGACGGCGCTCAGGCTGAGGATGTTATCTCTATTAGTTACCTGTAATAAGGGGCAGTCTTGAAACCCAGCGCAGAATCACTCCTGCCAACAGGTGCTACTTTGGACTGAGTAGGCAACTGAAAAGCAAAGTCCACTTCCGACGAATAGAAACAAAACTTTACAAGTCCCTCATCGTTCCGTCCTGCTATATGGTGTGGAAGCACGGACGATATCAATATCTGATGAGTCGGCTTTAGGAGTTTTTCAGAGAAAGGTTCTGCGTAAGATTTATCGTTCTTTGCGCGTCGACAACGGCGAATATCGCAGACGATGGAACGATGAGCTGTTCAGCTACGCTTTCTAGAATGGTTGCGAATTCTTCTGCTTTGAAAGTTTTCGATGCAGTACCCGCCGGGGAAAGCAGAGGAAGGGGCAGACCTCCACTCCGTTGGAAAGACCAAAGAGAAGGACCTGGCCAAACAGCAAAAAGAAGAAACGAATGGCGCAAGCGGTGTCTACGGCAGCAAAGTAAGTATGCAAGTAATAAGAGATTTTCCAGCATACAAGAGGAGGAGCTTCAAGGGTTACTAATTATATTTGCTTGTACATATTTATAAACATTTATAGAAGAAGTTGAAAAAGCAGTTTATTGGTTGAAAAAAAAAAAACATAAAAAGTAATATGAAAAATCGCATGCGAGAAATTTTTACATTTCAAATTGCTACATTTAGATTTTGTATTTTCGAAATTTTCAAGCAAATTACTAAGTTGATTTCACAGTGGCCGTAGTACTCGATTGGTTGGTAGTGCCCGGAAGTTCGTAGGTTGGTGCAGCCAACACCCAAAATTACCGGAAAAATAGATGCGAGTGAATACGGTCGTCAAGATAATTCAAGCAGTCTGCTTTAGTTTTAATGGCCGAGCGTCGAGCAGGTCAGAGTGCTCGGGCAGGACTTTGAACCGCATTTTCTCGAGTTTTCATTTTTAAAAGTCAGAGAAAATGATGCCGGTGATAGCAAATATAATATATATCTGATTAAAAAAAATGAAAAATCCAGCTTCAGTATTAAATTATATTCTATTTGAACTAAAAAGTTTGGACAAAAGTTAAACCGTTTTCAACTTGAAGTGAATTTTTTTTCTTTCAAAAAAACTGACCTTTTTCAAACTTCGAATATATTTGGATTTTGCCAACTTTTCGGGTATTTTTTTATTTCATATAAAAGAGGCACTCATAACAATTAAAAGCAAAATGTGGTTCGACTGTTTCAGATGCATCGCTCGACCGCTATCACCGTCACCGTTTCACGAACTCAGATTGGAGCCGCTTCAGAAAACTCATCATAACAACAGGACACTTTCATTACTTTTTTGATACTGAAAAATTATTTTTGAAACTTAAATATCTGACAATATAATAAATGCTTTCCAAAATAAGAATTTCGTAGTCTAAATTCATGACTTCTATAGAGAGTAAATTTAATCTGTTCCCAAATGCTACATTGAATGCCAATATTTACACTAGTACCTTCCATTAGGGTTTTGTATATTTTATGAAGTCTAAGTTTAGTATCTTTATTACCGCCATATTTCTAGTAAACAGTAAACTGGAGATCTAGACAAGTATTACGTACATATTTACTAGATACTATCTTATATAAATTTAGATAAAATGTTAAATGCATTCACACTTATTTATGCAAATAACTAAAGCGCTGCTGGATATCTAAAGATTTTACAAAATATTTATTTATCTAATTATATATGTATGTACATACACATATCTATGTAAATAAATAACGCACCACAATTTTGCTAAGCTTTTTTATAGTGTTTTACGCACAAAAATAAATTCTTTGTATGTATGTGTTAAAGCAATCTAGAATTCCCATAACAAAATAAAATAAAATAAATAAATAAAAAATATTATATTTATGCAAACTAAATAAAATACAGTGGAATATATTTTATAAGTACACAAAGTATATATGTCTGTATATAGGCTGGGAAAATGCCAAAAACGAATGTGAGGTGACAAATGAAAGCCGATAACTAAAGCATATTCTAGAGCGCGTGTTTAGAATGCTCTTTATCGAGTACATCCAAAGAAGAAACATCTAGAGCTGTGTGTGAGATATCGGTGGGTATATAAAAGCGGCGTTCAACTCACAGTAGGCTTAGTTGAGTTTGGAACTGGGTAGAGTTTGTATGTGTTTGTTAAAAGAAGAATAAATTGTATGGCTTTGATTGAATATTTAGTAATGTTATTGACACATACTTCCTATAAACACTCAAGCAAATTTACAGTTATTAAAAAAAAATTGGCAAGGAAATAATTAGATACTTTTATGAGCAGTATTTTTCTAACCTCTAACAGAATTGAATTATATTACGTAATTGGCGCTTTATAACAGCTTAAGCGATTTTCGGCCGAGCTCCAATTTATGGTCTTGCATCTTGATGTTTTTCCGCCTCCGAACGGCTGATGGTTTTTTTTGGGAGAGGTCTTTAATTTCATGTTAGAAATACACTCGGAGGGCTTGACATTCCCTGCCGCGGGGCGGAAGCATTTAGAAAATTTAGCTTAATTTTGTAATTAAATTATTTTTCTATAACTTTGGGATGTGGGTGGAATCAAGACTTGAACCCTGGCCTTCCGAATGGCAGTACGCAGTAAAGTTTCAATTTATACAAAAAGGCTTTACGACGTCGTGCCATATTTTATGTCGATATAACCGAAAAGAGAACTTCTGATGATCAGCATCACCGTAGCACTCAATACAAAACCATCTGAATGCAATTCTGAGTATTCCCCGACCAAAGCCTGCAGTTAAAAAAGAGTATTCCTAACTGCTGCAAGACTATACGCTTCTAGGCAGCTGAAAATCTGAGCTTACGGGTACTGTAGTCTAGCGTTACCGGTATGTGTACGAATAGACTGCATAATCCCGCGCCTGACTGTAGGAAAGAGGCGAATGGCTAGAGCAAAGATCTGAAATATGCAGACAAAGTTCTTCATACTTTTTAAAAATGGTTCTTAAATTAACGAAGCAGCGAGGGCTTCAGAGATAAGAAAGTCATATAAGCTATAAAACCATTTCTGTATCTTCCAAGCCGAAATTTTTGCTATAAAAATTGTGGCAAACTACTGCAGGTCGCTGGGTTTCAAGCGAAGATAATACACATATATATATATTTAGGTAGCAAAGCGGCCAGAAAGCACTACATTTCATACAACACGAAGTCCGCTGTGGTCGCACTATATATAAAGTCGACAGAAACGCAATCCGAATAAAGAAGATGTTTTATTTACTGGATGACAAGTAACAGAGGCATTGAAGGCAATGACATAGCTGACGATTTAGCTAAGGAGGGTGTCCTTTTCGTCTAGTAAAACCAGATGGCTCAGGCAGTTCGACCTAACCTAAGCGGAGTTTCCTAGCCGCTTTAACAACAACAACATAAAAAATCCAGGTTTTTTCTATCGTCGCCGTTCTTTGGGATTGGTCATTCCACAAACGTCATTACACCGTATTTCCCTTAAAGACTTGGTGGACCTTAACGACTATAAAGTTCAGTTAACACAAGAAATCAAGCCGGCCGATTATAAACATGGTCGTGTCTTTGCTTATTGGGTCTTTGAAATGCATGAAAATGAGCCGGAATTTCATCGAAAAATCATTTTGCCTGATGATATGTAACTTTTTAGCGCGGCCTATGGTCCGGCGGTGTCATTTGACCTTACTTTTTCGAAAATGAGACTCCGAGTAACAGTTGCGGTGAATGGATTGCGCTTTTGAGAGATGATTAATGATTTCTTATGGTCGAAATCGGATGGTATAGATTTGGTAAAGGTTTACTTTCAACAACACGACGCCAGGAACCACACAAGCAACAAAACCATCGACCTTTTAAGGGAATAGTTTCCGAATCGTAATGCTTCATGAAGGGGTGATCTCGATTGGTCACAAAGATATAGTGATTTGACACCTGGGACTTCTTCTTTTGAAGCCACGTGAAAGCTAAGGTCTACGCTAACAGGCCAACGTCGATTCAAGCCCTCAAGGATGGAACTCGCGAAACTATTGAGAGCATGCAGCATGCAGGTGATGGAAAATTTCATAAAAGTAATGGGGTATCCTACAGCAGTGCTTTGTTCTGTGGAATACTTATAAAACGACGACTCAACTGCCTCCACTGTGTGCAAATGTTCTTAGTTACACGATCCCTCTTAATCTGCGCGACGTGTTAGACATTTTTCTTTTGTTTTTTTTTGTTTTGATGACGAAAAACTTAAACAAATAAATATTGTATATAATACCGTTACTAAACCAAATAATTCAAACAAATGCTACAGTGTATAAACCTTATTTATCTATATCTATCTAATCATTTCCATGCAAATAAGACGCATTTCACTTTGGGTTCGCTGAACGTTTACTATTCCCATATAAAAGTTAACAGACCTCAGAGTAGAAATGTTCGGAAAATTGCAAACTAAACGTCATTTGGCATCAACAACCCTCACGGTGCAGACCATACAAAGCAGATTTACAGTGCAATATAGTGTATACAAGCGAATATATCTAACAAGATGAGCACTTCAGTTGAATTGAGCAGCAACGCCTTGCATGATCTATGCCAGAGCTATCATGAACACAACCATCAGTCCAAACTGCCTTGCACCCTAGAGGTGCTCAGCTATGAACACTCCGCCAACGCGGACACCGTAACCGGTTTTCTGGGTCGTCATCAACTACTTACACTGAAAGTGCGACGTATCGATGCGGAAGGACAAGCACATCACGAACAAATCCGTTTCTTCACCAAGTCACCGCCTGTAGAGTTGGCTTCGCGCATGGAATACCTGGAGGAATTTGGTGTATTCAAAAAGGAGGTGTGTGTATATCGTGAAATACTACCCGAACTTCAGAAGATATTCCCTCATGTGGCGCCAAAATGCTACTATGCCGACGAGCGTCTACTTGTATTCGAGCATCTTGCCGATCAGCAGTTTCGCATGGCTGCCGAACGTAATGGCATATTAAACTACAAACACCTACACTGCATGCTGAAAACACTGGCAGCACTACATGCCAGCTCTATTGTATACGAAGTACGCTGTGGGCGCAAGTTGAATGATCTACATCCAGAGGCTGTGGTTGAGAATGCCTATCCATTGAATTTAGCAGAGAGTCATGTGCGCTCTCAAAATTTCAAAAATGCTAATCGTGCATTTATGGAGCTGATAAAATGGTTGCCTAAATATCGATCAAATTTGGACTTTATCTTGCGGGAGTTTCCAAAGAAAATGGCAGTGATATTCGAGTTGATGCAGACATCGGACAAATACTGTAATGTATTCTGTCATGGCGACCTATGGGCGAACAATGTTATGTATCAGTATGGTAAATATGGCGATTCACCTGTCGAGAGCCGTTTGGTGGACTTCCAAATCAGTCGTTATGCACCACCGATGTTGGATTTGATAACGATACTCACTATACCAACAAGTAGTGCCTTCCGCAAACAACATTTATCGGAGTTATTTTGTGACTACTATAGTTTTATGACGGAGTTTCTGAAAAGGGAGAATCTCAATATTGATGACTACCTGACACGTCAAGAATTCTACGAGACGGCAGAGAAATTCCGCATTGTCGGTCTTATAGAAAGTCTACTCTTCTCACATATGACCGTTATGCCGACAGATTTGACAGAGGCTTTTACCTCGTCGGCAAATGGTTTCACGGACTTCTTCGATGCCAAGCGAGTAGACATCTGTTTGAAAGCTTTTCGCACTGATGATATTTACAGAGAGAGATTATCTGATATGCTGGAAGATTTTGTGGATAACTATGTATTGAAAACTCAAAATTAGTAAATTAGTTAATAAAGAATAAATTCTTTTATTTATTTATTTAAGAAGTGCTTTACTGGATCATAAACAATTATCGCGCGATCCGATCGAAGAGGTCCACATCACCCTATAGAAATGTCGTTCGGTACTAAACGCTTCCTTAAGAAATTCTGACGGGAGCTCTGGTATTGTAGAGTGGGTGTACTCATGCTTCTGGGTAAGCACATCTATACTCAATTCCTACTCTTATGTCCACGTCGCGCATCCGGGGAACGTGAGCAAGCTTTGTGCAAGAAGCGGTGGTCAACCCGTGTGGATATGGCTAAATGAGAAGAAGGAGCCCTTGATATTAATTCACTTAGCAACCGTGTCGTAAGTTTTGTTTTCTCTAGCCTGGATGAGGAAGGGAGGTGACGTCGTCTGGTAGTGAATGCGGGCAAGACGAAATAGTACATACACCAATAACCATATCTGCCTGGAAGTCCAACGAAGAAACACTTTTTCCTAAAGGTGCTTTTTTAAACCGATTGGCAATTGAAAAGTAAAGTCCTCTCATGGACAACAAATACCATCTTTTGAAAGTCGTGCCTCATTCCTGTCTTGATATATGGCGCAGAACATGGACTTTGCCACATCCATTGAGTGGGCTTTGGAGGAAGTTGTCTAGAGAAATGTTGTGCCAAAGGTTTATGATTCTCTGTGTATAGGTGAAGGCGAATAGCGCAGATATTAGGTGTAGGAGATATCGACACAGTTCAGCGTAAGAAGATGCAGCGGCTACTCTGCCAAGTCATATCGTTCGGATGGATGAAAACAGCTCAGCTCTGGAGATATTCGATACAGTATCCGCCGCTGGTAGTAGAGGAAGGGAAGGAAATATCTTCATTACAATTAGTTCAGTAAGGTTACCGGCGTCGTTTGGAGGCTCGGGTTCATTCTTTCGCCGCAATTAGCAAACTGGCGTAGTATCCTTAAATGGAGTATTTCATTGTTTCTCCTGTTTGGTTTCTACAAAAATGTTTTGAAGTCAATTCGTTTGTTCCCTTGGTAGCGCTCTGTATGTTAGATTGAGACTTCTGGAGATCATCTAGATATATCTAAGGTTTCTCCAACTCTTCATCACCCTCCCAAACGTCTTGTTATTCTTTAAACGAACCACCGATATTCGAACGTCGACAGAGTCGAATAACGAAACGTCTTTTACTTCATCATCGATGGGAAGTTCCAGTCCTTTATCTCCACAATTTATTGTACTTTTACTGTCATTTATCTGTCAAAAGAATTGTTCCCTCCATACACCAAGTAAGCTCTGTATCAGCTTACCTTCTTAGCTCCTAAATGAGTGTGCACTGGTCTTAAAACCTTTTGTGAGCCGCCGTGTCTTCCCATAGCACATTTGAGCATTACTGCTCTCTACCAGCTTCTCAAGCTCTGTATACTCAAGTACTTCGGCCTCTTTCTTTTTCATTGCAAATTCTGCTTACCTCATGTTCTGATCTTTCGCAACTTTGCGAGGTAAGCCCTTCGACACTCCTCATCGTTCCACCTCTTTTGATGACATTGGAATAACCAAATCGCTTCTCTAGCCTGCGAAGCTTGAAATTCCGTTCAGCATTTTCCTTATATCGGGCTGCTGATGGTTGCTCTCAAAAAACAGAAGTGAAAGTCGTGTAGAAAACTGCTTGGCTCTCAGCTTGTTGTTGACTGTCATAAGCGGATGCATATATTCGCTGCGACAAGATAGTGATCCGAGTCGATATTAAGTCTACGGTATGGACATTCATCTTGAACACATGAAGTCTGTATTTTATCAAACAAAACTTTGACCGATTTGCTACGATGACAATGATATAGCTTGATAGATTTCTTGCCCCAGAATCTGTTACTGCAATCGGTTATACTTCGAAACCGGAGCCGAAGTCGATCAATCCCGGTTTGTTTGGAGATGTTTCGCTATATAGGCTGAATTTTGTCTCTGTTGTATTGAACATCCCTTTTTGCTCAGTATGACGATAAAGTCGCCAAAATAGATGTGTTCTAATCACTCATAGAAAGCATCTTTGATCACATCGTTTTAATAAAATTCACGGTCTGTTGCCATTTTGATGGTGTTGTCATTATGCCTCTCTCAAAGAAACCCTTTTTCTCAGGCTTCTCCATTCACCATCTAAATCAATCACCATAGACAGAAACAGATCTTGCTCACTTGGTGCGAGATCCAGACAATAATATAGACGCATAAGGATCTTCTCCATAAGCTTTCGGAGCTTCTAGCGTGTCACTGTAGATGTGTGTGCTCTGGTGTTGTCTTGAGGAAACACACTTCCCCTGCTGTAGGCAAGAACTCGGCGATTGCTTCCATCAAACGGTTCAATTGCTGAAAGAACAGATCCGTGCAAAGAGTTTGGCTGCTGGGAGCAGTTCATGGTGAATAATTCCTTGCCAATCTCACCAAACATACAACGAAACCTTTAAGGCCGGCAATTCTGGTTTGAATACTGTTTGTGTCGCCTCACTGGCCGTCTTCGTGTGGCGTAGCTGTAAGCGATCCATTTTTCATTACCAGAACAAATTTGCTTCAGCAATGGGCCGATTTTGTTACGGTGCATTTGCGAATTGCAGATAGAAATTCGGTCCATGAAGTTTTCTCTCGTCAACTCATGTGGCACCCACAAATCGAGCTTCTTTGTGTATCCACTCTTTCTCTAGTGGTACCAAACTTTTTTTTTATGCTTGCCATCTAGCGTAATCCAATTGCACTCAAAGCACTCGAGATACAAATCACTAAAAAATAATGGATTTCTTTTTACTACACCGCATTTTGGACACACCTGGTAGTTATTTGTTGAAATACCCATGTTAACCCATATGAAAGGTGTATTTTCCAGTATTTCAAAAAAAATAAATAAAATAAAAAATTTGCAACTATCAACTTTCGTACATACATACATACATACATCCATACATACGTACGTCATACCGGCGTAGTTTTATCTCATTTATTGTTCAACACACTTTGTCATTATACTTACATATGTACAAGTACATATAGTCATAAAGTTGTGGTCATAAACACATACACACATTTGTATGTTTGTATGTACAAGTATATAGGTATATATGTATATGCACAGCTTACATAGCTGCGACGACCAAAATGTGCATCGCATGGTTAACTCTTTTATTACTTAATTTCCTTTTGTCTTGTAACTTGACCATCTTCTTCTTTTCACGACTTTTCATCGGTTTTCTTCTTCGACATTTATTTCATTGATTGTTTTGATTTTTTCGTATGGAAACCTGGCGCACTCCAATATTTGGCGGGCTTTGGTGGATTTTAATGTCTACAACGGTTACTTGGCCAAGAGGTAAAATTCAGTTGCCAATCGGACGCCTTCAATTAAACTACGAAAAGCGCGTAAAAAGTGAAATCAAAAGTAAGCGATTCAATTGCAATTCACTTAAGCCTGGGAATATTTGCAAGCTTACATACATATTTACTGTAATATTTTTATATACATTAATATATTTATAAAGCAGCGAATGTGAATAAAAAAAAAAACAAATAAAAACATTTTATTCAAAAGTAACTTATAATTGCCAAAATATTGTGAAAATGTGAGTTGAATAAATTTAGTGTCTCTTCAGCTTTAATTTTATGGCGAATCAATGAATTTATAATTTGAAAACTGTTTAGCATCACTTTGGGTATCCGAGAAATCCAGGAGAAAACAAGACTTAATATTGTAATTGTTTTATTTCCACGTAACTTATTATTTGCTATAAAAATATTATTAATTCTATTAATATTAAAAATAGCAATAATAAAGGGTTATCCATTATGTGGGTTCGAAAATAAATATGGTCAAGTAAAAAGTTTGTGTGGTTTTTAGCTAGGAGATGGCGTTGTTGTCCATAGTACTTGCGTTACGTGTTGCATCAGGTCATATTATTCGGCGCTGAAAACGTGTTTATTCGCGCTAAAAATTTGTCTTTGTCAGTTTTTCCATTGCTTGACTCAGTACTTTCTGAGCGCTCGTCCACCAGCAAAGATAAAATTCGCTAAATTTAACATTTTTCTTCGATCAAGGCGAAAAAGCAGCCAAAGCGGCTGTAAAAATTAATTTAGTTTATGGGCCCAATACTGTAAACGAACGTGTGGCACAAAAGTGGTTTGATAGGTTCCGTATTCGGAAATTCCGATGTCAAAGATGCACCAGGTTCTACTGCGTGTTTGGTGGGATTGGCAAGAAATCATCTACTACGAACTGTTCCCCTATAGCCGAACCGCTCAATTCGGCTCTCAACTGCCAGCAACTGGACCGCTTGAAGGCAGCACTCATCCAGAAGAGACCGAATTGAGTTCCATCAGCACAACGCCAGGCCACACACGTCTTTGGTGATGCGCCATAAGCTCCAGAAGTTCGGATGGGAGGCCCTAATACACCCACCTTATAGTCCGGACCTAGCACCAAGTGATTCCCATTTTTTCCTGTCCATGGCGTACGATCTTAATGGTGAGAATTTGGCCTCAAGAGAAACCTGTGAAAATTGGCTCTCCGTTTTTTTGTCAATGGGTACTCAGGCTTCTATGAGAAGGGTATAATGTAGTTGGCATCTCGTTGGCAACAAGTTTACAAACAAAACGGCGCATATTTGACTTAAATCGGACAAATGTACACAAAGTTATCTTATTTTGAAAAATCAAAAAAAAAAAACCCGAACGAACTTTTTACTTGAAATGATTTTAAAACATTTTTTTACATTAAATTCCTATTTTTATTATAAAGTTTGAACCTTGGCATAGTATGTGAAGCACTACATTATTCAAATGGTTAACTCGATCTGTTTGAGATAATTTCGAACACTTTTTGGTACACGATTGCTTGTTTTTAAGTGCTCTCAGGTTAAAGGCTTATCCGCATAAAGAGCGCACCAGATAATGAGTTTTTTTCTTCTTTGCCTAACTTCAATTAATTATACTCGTAGTTCTCGGAGCACCAAGTGTGAAAAATTTTATTTATTTACGTGTATCTGCCGAGTGAGAAATGTGTCTGGTTGCGGCAAAATATTGGTCAAGCACGCGATCGACGTATGTACGGCATCGTGAGCTGGACTATGGATGTAGGTGTAAGTCAAAGTGACATAAGCAAGTCCTAGCGCTGGAGGACTACGAGAAAATTATAATTTCAGGTCTTAGGCCATACTATCACCTACAGCAACGACATTTGAAATGTGGAACGAGCAAACGATGAGCCACAGGCCACAAAATATCTTGAACCGATCCATTATTTTCAAATTTCATTAAAATTTTACCGTTTATGTGCTCCATAAACTCCGCTTAAAGCACGAAACGGGGCCGCGTTTGAAACACCATTTTTTTTTTCGTAGATTTTAACAATTTTAGGGCGCTGGGCGGTTGTTAAAAAATCCATTTTCATAAATGTCTGACGTTTAGCTAAATCAAAGTATGTTTGGTTTGACCGTTAACCTTGACAGCTTTTAATATACAGTCTTGTACTTTTGAAACCACAAAATATATAACCCTATATCTTAAACTCTTTTTCGTTTTCAAGCTCATAAGCCTTATTTTATTTTATTATATTTTATTTTTTTTTTTTTTTTTTTTTTTTTTTTTTTGTTATTTCTTTTTGTTACCTTAATTTTCGAACCATTTCTTGAAGCGCCTTCATCATTCTGTTTGAGGTATCTTCAAAACCTATCTTCTGTCCGCCCCTTCAAGTGGCAAAAAAATTTGATTTCTCAGTCACTCGGTGCCAAGTCTGGACTATACGGTTGTTGACTCATCAATCGATGGTTGTGTACCATTTGGAATTTACTGTTCTATGTTGTTTTGGGGGGTGCGCTTGTGACATATCCGGTTTTTCCAAAAAAAAAACAGACAATCAGTTGCTCGGAAGTGCTTCGTGGATTCGGCTCATCTTTAAACAACACCCATACCTATGGTGGTTAACTTTCGGGTTCCTGCGCATAAATCCACGATTCATTACTTGACGCGATGTCATCGACTTGTTTCGAAGCATCGCTAACGTTTTTTTTTCACATTTCTCTCGGCCGATCGACTGACGAGTATTCTTTTTTTGAGCGAATAGCAAGTTAAGTTCCGAAACAAGAATTGAATTGATTTGATTTTAGAACGACCTTCATGAAATTAGTTTTTGAGTGATCTACGATCTCGACTGATTTACCAAATCATCGGTAAACACTGGTACTTGATGAGGATTCCTTGATGCTTTGTTGCTGACTTACAATAAATCATATCGAAAGTTGTAAAAAATAATTGCGATTTAATTCCATATTTTAGCTGCGCTGACCATTTTAAGCTTTTGTAAACAACACAAATGGCGCTTGTTCGGGACCCACATCTCAGAGATATAGAAAGGTATAAAAGGTCAGACGAACTCGCTGGACAAAGTACGACAAAGTGGATTTTTCCACATAAAGAACGCCTGGCCTATCGATAGTGGAGAAAAACTGGACCGAAATGAAAACAGAGAATTTGCTTATTTTCTCTAGTAAGAGGTCCCTTTGAATGAAAATTCTGTAGGAACTGGCCAAAATGTATCGATGTTCGCTTACCGCCAACCACTTCTACCCACCCACCTACATACCTAAGGACCCACATTCACAGCACCCACATTTGCCTGGAAGAAATCCAAATGAGAGTACAGCATATATATAAATCTCATGACATATTGAACCGTAAGTCCATTGGTTATATCTTTAAAATTTTTTGATTTATCTTGATTACCGTGAATGTTTTGGACCTCGTTCGCTCAACATTGTCAGGCAAGTTACCCTGCCCATTCAGTTTTATTTCAAACAATTTATCCTTTATCAGTTGCCGTATTTGAGGACCTATCTTGAAATACCGTATCATAACTAAGAAAATCGTCGCGTCATGTGGTTGCCATATGAGTTAGGGAGAAATGTAACGAAATCGACTCATTTCTCAAGCGGATGGTGACTGGTGATAAAAAAGAGTCCCATACAGCAACATCAATCAGCTGACCTCATTGACGGCGTGGGATTTACGGCCAATAAGATTTTGTTGTGCGCTTGGTGGGATTGACAAGAAATCATTCTCTATAAACTGCTCCCCTACGACCCAACCCTAAATGCCGACCTGTGTCCTCAAAAATTGGACCGTCTGTACTAAGGGTGACAATTAGGTAATGAGACTGATTAGTTCGCCTGCTGTAACGTGTTGGGTAAACGTGTGTTCGTGGTGCTCGTCACGGAAATGGAAAAACGAAGAGCAACGCGTCGCGATAAAATTTTGCGCCAAGTTGGGTGATCCCACGCTTCTTTATCCAGTTATTACAGACGTTGGGAGCTGTTTTTTTTTCAATACGACCCGGAAACTAAACGCCAAAGCTCACAACGGTTGTCTCCGCACGACCTCTACCCGAAATAGCTCGCATGAGCAAGCGGAAGTGGAAAACGATGATTATTGCCTTTTTTTTGATAGCCGTGGAATCATCCACAAAGAATTTCTTGCACCGGGACAAACAGTAAAACAAGTCTACTATCGCCGAGTACTCGAAAGATTATGAAAGCGAGTCAACAGGGTGTGTCCGACATCCTGAATCCTGCATCACGACAACGCGTCGTGCCAAGCCGCTCTCAACGTGTAGCAGTATTTGCTTTTCAAAGGATCGCCGTGTTGCAACAACCCCTTTATTCGCCTCATATGTCACCCTGTGACTTTTTTTGTTCCCTAGAAAAAAAAATCAGTGGTCTAAGGAACCCATTTTGCGTCGATTGAGTTCGTTCTTGTGGCCGTAACGAGGCTACTCGCGGATATCCCAGTCGAAGCGTTCGAGAAATATTACGAAGCATGAAAAACGCGCTGGAATCATTGTAAAGCTACCCAAGGGGACTACTTTGAAGGGGATGACAGATTTGTAGAATAATTTTGAAATACACGGTTTTTATGGAATCAGTCTCATTACTTAATTGTCACTCCCCGTGGCATTCGGTCAGAAGCGCCCAGCTTTAACCAACAGGAGCGGAATTGAGCTTCATTAGAACAACGCCGAGCTACACTTATCGATAGTGGCTCGCCAGAAGCACCGGGAGCTTGCTTAAGTGGCTGTGGCATCCACTTTATAGTCCGGGCCTCGCACGAAGATATTACCATATCTGTTACTGTCTATAGCGAATGATTTGTTTGGTAAAGAATTGGTATCAAGGGAAGTCTGTGAAAATCAGTTGCCTCAATTTTTCGACTATAGAGACGAAGGTTTATATGAGAGAGGCATAATGACTACCCCTTCGAAATGACAAAAAAAATTATCAAGTGAAGCGATGCATATTTGACACGAATCGGATAACTCCAACTATTGTAAATGGAGCCTAGGGAGCTGAAGTGATTTTCTGTTGAGCTCCTCGTCTCATTTGTATTATGCAACTGGATAAATTTTTCAAGCATATGGAAGGACCTACATAAATTTTCTAAGCCGCCACCGAATGACTGATGCTGTTAATAGTATTTAATCACCAATAATACTATATATCATAACTCTAACTAACTCCAGTTATTTATATTCGAAATAACAGCAAATGGGGAAATTAATCGATTCCAAAAATTTTTA